TCACAAAGAAAACAAAATCAGGCTTTGGGTAGGAATTGATGAGAAATTTTTAGTTACGATCATTCAAGGTAAAAAAGAATCAGAATATAGAGAGCTTGATGTAAATGCAGTATATATGGGTTGTATCGAATCCAGAAGTCAGATAATAAATAATTAATGCTAATGAAAGATAGAGCACTTAACTGTGTAGCCTAACGAATGATAGAGCATTTTGAAAAAGCAAAAAAAAGGGTATGGGCTTATTAGTACACATAAACAAAAAATTGACACATGAGAAAAAAGAATGCGCCAATCTGATGCTCAAGTAGAGGATATAGCAGAATTGAAAAAAATACTTAAGAGGCCAATCAAATTGCTTGATATTACTCATGAAATCATTTTTAATAGTGGAAAATATCAAACAGGAAGGTTTGAAGAGATAGAGATGGTAGTCCACAATGGTCATGTATTCTCTAGAAACCATTATTTTTCAAAAGATCGAATAGTAGAATATTATAGCGATAATGTATGGAAGGCTATCAATAAAGCTCTTTAAGGTCCCCAAGCGATATGGCTTATCAGACTTGGACTTGAGAAAGGCAAAACATTGGAAGAGATCCAGTCAATATCCTAATTTGTTCTAGAAAATAGTCATACATTTAGAATATAGATAAAGCATACAGATATTATAAAAGTACATAAAGAATTATTTGAGGATGCAGTAGACTGGAAATTTCAGGAAGGAATAATTAATGAGGAAAGAAAGCAGAAATCCTTATAATCGCTTAAAATAGTTGAGTTAGCAGAACAGGTATTTGGTGCTAATCATGCCAGAGGTAAGCTTGCGAATGAGATCAATGATTGGCATTTGATTCCAGCCGGTATGCATAAAAATATAAAACAATCTTGTGTTAAATATGGGTATAAAGAACATTGGAATGCATCTAATTATCAAGTTGAAAATCTTATATGTATAGACATGAAGGAATGTTATCCAGCAAGTATGTGTGGTCAGGAAGAATGTTCAAATGATTTAGTCATCCAACACACCATCTTGTCTAAGTAGTAAATAAAAAATTACCACAAAATGATATAACTGAATTTATACAAGATCCTTTAAATCTGTTTCTAATATTCATTCAGCAATCCCAGTCTGGTATGGAAAACATTTTGCTTGTTAGGGTGGAGAAGTATGTGGAAAGACAAAGGTTGGTCCTCTATTGTACTTTTATGATATTTTCTTAAAGCAGGCATCCTAGAAAGTGTAACTATTAGGGAAGCAATTATTTCTCTTACTAAGCAAACAAAGGTATAACTTCCTAAAAATCAGGATATAAGTTGTGCAATCATAGGAAAGTTTACACAAGAAAATAAAGTTAAGGAAAAATGCCTTACTCACTGAGTTATAATAGACGAAGGTAAGCTTGATTTCTTGATCCAGTATTCTATTAAAGAAAAGACATATTCAGATAGTAATAAATGTTCGCTTGAACATATACTTACATATTATGAGGTCACCAGCCTCAATATATATATTTGCGGGCTTCAATACTAGCATAAACTTACTAAAAATGCTCTGAAAATTTAGTCCTAATAAAGTGGTAAGAATCATAATATATTCTATATATATATAAAGAGGGGCCTTATATAAGATTAAAAATGTATCTACCTTCTTCAAGTAAGCTAAACGCCTTTTCAATTATAAGGAAGGGGCAGATACTAGTAAGTTTCAATATCTGCATAAAATTTCTTTTTGTGCAATGTATAGAGCAGGAGTCTTTTATTCAAAAGAAGAAGTCAAAGAATTTGTCAAAGAAGTGAAGGTCTACTATATGAATAGAATAACAGGCTATTTGTTATGCAATGAGCATAAGCCATTTGTGTGTGCTGTTTGCTTTAGGGAATGGTACTTTCACTTAAGTTCTCAGAAGAATACCAAATTCAGTAGAGTTGTTACCAAAGAATCTGAGCCACTAAAAAAGGAAAAGATTCGAGAAATTTAGCCTGGTCAATGGTGTGATAAAGGTGAGAAGATTCATAGACCAGATCCTAATATCATATACTGGCCAAAAAATAGGCATTGGAAATTGATTAAAAATATTACTGAGAGTACTGCTCCATCAATTCGTGATCATATTACAAGATCCTGAGTTTCATATCTCAATGGAGGCAGTGGTTCTGAAAAGATAATACGCGTAATCTGAATCTTTAAAGATATAAACATAGTAGTCTTTACTCATATGAATGCATTGGCTAAAGACGTCTAGAATAATCGTAAGGTAAAGCCCAAACTTGGCATAGCTTCTTTAGGTGAAATGGTATATGAGAGTGAACTCTTGAATGCATGGGAGAAAAGAAATTCCCACTAGTTGTCATTTGAATGAAGTATGTACAGTGCCTAGATATATTCTAGAGAAGTTTATTGACTACTTACTAGAGCAAAAATGTTAGATAATCTGTTGTAGAGATGATGCTCAATCTCCATTATTTTTCAGAGAAATGTCTCATGACTGATTAAAAGAGCGAGCTGATTATTATGAGGAAGTCTTAACTAATTATTGGACCAAATGCCCTAGACTGCAAGAGCTTAAGAAAAAAATGTGATGTTAAAATAATAGAGTGCAGTCAGACCTATTCTGTAAAGTACTTCCAGTCACAGAAAAATGAGAATATCTCGAAGCTGAATGGAAGCCATCAGATCATATTTTATTAGCACATCTACTTTTCCAAAGAATTGCTTCTCAAAGATGCTTAAAACTTCATTAAGAAAAATATTCCAATGTGCTGATTCCATTAATCTATAGGCCAAGAGATGGATGCAAACAAAATTGTCTAGTTCCAATCTTTGGCTCATCTGAAAAGAAAGAGTTAGTGAAAAATGATATAGTGAACTTACCCTTAAATACACTTCCTGATAAATTCTTAAAAGATATGTTTGATGGATAAAAAAGACATAGATTGGGAACTTGGATATGCTATAACTATTCATATTAGTCAAGGAATGACCTTTAAGGCTTCATAGCGTGTTTGGGTCATCGATGAAAACCTAGCCTAGGATAACTTAATATATTTAGCAGTTGGTCATGTGGAATATTTAAGCCAACTTATTCAGGTCGAAATGCCCCAATTACCTCCTGAAATTGCCCAAGAGATTGAGGAGGCAAAAAAGAAAAAACGGCTAGAGCACGAATTGAGACCATCTATTTAGGAAAAACTTATCGGATATATGGGTCAGGACAAGAAAAAAGGCTGTGAATTCAATCTAACAGCTGACTATATTCTCACATTAAAATGTATTCAAAAAAATAGATGCGCATTATGTCTTATAGAAATGAAATTCAAATGGGATCGGCCAGGAGACATATTACAATGGACAGTAGATCGAATTCATAATAATTTGGGGCATATCAAAGGAAACGTACGCCTAACCTGTTTTCTTTGCAACTGAAATCACAGAGTCTAGTTCATGCCGGTGATCCAGATTAGTGATATAGACATATATACAATCGGAGAAGACAAATCGCAATACTTACATAATTGTAAGATTTTTTTCTGACACAATAAATATTCAGTTATTTTTTAAGACATATAGCCAATCGGATTAATTGAATTGGCTAAGCAGTTACAAAGGGATTAGAAGAGGTTATAAATTTGCTAAAATCTGATATTAATAAACTGTTACCATCTGATGTTACCGATCTTGATTTACCATTCAATCTGAAGAAAAGATTATGCGTGCCTATCATTCTAAAAAATTAATTATGTATATTAAAATAGATATAATGTATCGCAAGCATAGTCCCAATCTTTTATATTTATTTTTGCGTAGTAAGTCACGCCATATTAATAAAAGATTTTTTTTTCCTTGGTAAAGTTGCTATCAGAAGTAACGTATCACATGAACTTTACCTTTAGCCCCAGAAAAACTATTTATCTGCATGAGATTCTAATCGCTGTGATTTGCAAGGAGGATTAACGTAATGATGTACATAATGAATCGCTGATCTGAGAATCATTTTCTCCTGAGAATTCAAGTGCTATAAAAACGCCTTCAGTGGGAATTTAGTCCGCATCACTTCTCGCATATTTTTGTAGTAGATCATGTCCTTAACCAGTTTTAAGAATCTTGCTTTTAACATCCTAAAAAATCTCGAAGATGAAACCGTTAGAGACAAGGAAGTTCCAGAGCTGGGACCATGTTCGGTGTATGATAACGAGATCTTGATACTTCCTATCAAGGCATTCACTGTGAATATGCATACCATAGACTTTGCATTGAGAAGAAACTTTTACACACTGCGACTGGTGTGTGTCTGTTCCCTGATTGTGGAAAAAATGTTGAGATAATTGTTGATGATTCTCCTAAAGTTGACAATAGGCGAGATTCTCAGTCTAGTACATCATCTGTGGTTGGCAAAATGGAAAAGCAACTCCAAATCAATATAACTGAAATGATTCCAGAAGAACCTGAATAAGAAATGGACATAGATGAAGGAGTTGATGGAGAGGAAGAAGAAACTCAGCCCAATGCCAGCAGTAAGAAGCGGGCTAATATATTTGTGGTAAACCTTCAGCAAGAAAGCAAAGCAGACTAAGGTTGAGAAAAACTTATATGAGAACTGAGTATTGGAGCATCTAAAGTTTTGGTCAGAGAAAAGGGGATGATAGCACTCGCATTTTTTTAACTTATATTACCAATGCCGAAGCTGGTCGATTTCTAGGCACTTTTCCAGCAACTCCCTAAGTATAAAATTCATATTATCGTATTCATTTGAAACATCATGTAATGTGATTTTTTCGTAATTTTTTATGTGTCAGTTGTTCCAACAATGTTTTTTTTATCGGTCAATAAATTTATTCCAAGTAAATCGATGTTTTTCTGGCTCAAGCCAATGAAAATATAAATATTAATAAAGAATTTGATTTTTCTTGATTTTAAAATGTATAATTTTATTTAATAATTTTTCAACCTCATTTCGCCAAAATCACTTTTTATTAATATTTTTTATCATTTAACATAGATATTACAAAGCATAGATACTAAAAACATGAGAGAAAAAATGATGATTAAAATTCACCCCATCAAATTACTCGATAATTATACCCAAGAGCTCCCCTTAAGACAGCTTGCTGTCTTTGGTTCCTTAACGCGAAGACATCCTGATTCCACAAGTTTAAGTCATAGTCGTTTTGCCAAACAATCTGATATAGAAATCCAAAGGCTGGACGTACGACTTGATTATTGATACGATCGTATAAAACAGATCTGGTTGGAATGGGGATTATATTGTTATTTCTGTCTGTAAAAAAAATATTCACAACATTTACGTTGGATAATTGAATTCTGACGTTGAGTTAGTTATGAATGTCGAAGATATAAGTATTATTGTTTAAGTAAGAAAAACTATCACCCCACAACATTTCGACTTGATCTTGTTCTTGCTTTGGATATTTCTTCATTGTGAAATGCAAAATACGCTTCAGTGAAGTCAAAATTTTATTTATCACTTACAAATATATATACAGTGGCGGTCAAAAGAATTGCATCACCTGAATGCAAATCTTAAAATTACAATTTCTTGAGATTAAGAAATC